TGTGTGCGTGTGTGCGTGTGTGCGTGTGTGCGTGCGTGCGTGCGCGCGTGCGCGCGTGCGCGCGTGCGCGTGCGCGTGCGCGTGCGCGTGCGCGTGCGCGTGCGCGTGTGCGTGTGCGTGTGCGTGTGCGTGTGCGTGTGCGTGTGCGTGTGCGTGTGCGTGTGCGTGTGCGTGTGCGTGTGCGTGTGCGTGTGCGTGTGCGTGTGCGTGTGCGTGTGCGTGTGCGTGTGCGTGCGTGTGCGTGTGGGTGTGCGTGTTTGTTTGTTTCTGTTTCCGTTTGTTGGTTGTTTTCTATTTCCCCACCTGACAGGAAGGGGTTGTTAGATTTTACGTTAGAATCTGCGATTGCGATGCTTCTACACCACGCCCCCCACCCAGTATCCCGCCAGAGCAGCTCGCCAGTGGATCCCGCCCAGTATCCCGCCAGAGCAGCTCGCCAGTGGATCCCACCGAGTATCCCGCCAGAGCTGCTCGCCAGTGGGTCCCGCCAGGGCAGCACGCCAGTCAAGCCGCCGAGTATCAGAGCGGATCCCGCCAGAGCGGCTCGCCAGTGGATCCCGCCGAGTATCCCGCCAGAGCGGAAGATCCCGCCAGCCCAGTAACCCGCCAGCCGAGTATCCCGCCAGCAGCGGCTCGCCAGTGGATCCCGTCGAGTATCCCACCAGAGCTGCTCGCCAGTGGATCCCTGCTGAGTATCCCAGAGTCGACAGTGGATTCCGCCGAGTATCCCGCCAAAGTAGCTCGCCAGTGGATCCCGCCGAGTATCCAGCCAGAGTAGCTCGCCAGATCCCACCAGAGCAGCCCGTCAGTGGATCCCGCCGAGTATCCCGCTGTATCCAGCTCGCCAGTGGATCTTGCCAAGTATCTTGCTGAGTATCCCTTGCCGGTGGATCCTGCCGAGTATCCGGCCAGTATCGAGCCGGAGCGGCTCGCCAGCATTCGCCAGTGGATCCCGCCAGTATCCCACCAGAGCAGCTCGCCAGTCTGGTTTTGCTTAATGTCCCGCCCGACGCACGGCGCGCAGTTGGCAGGCCCGCCCGCCGCCCCCCGCCCGCAGGCACACGAGCGCAACACCACACACAACAAAACACACAAGCAAAATAAAAACAAAGAAATCAATTGCTTCGCTTCGAGCAATCCCCACTCTCCACACTCGCGAGCTTACGACCGTGCGTGTGAATTCAAGCGTGGTTTTCGAGTGGCTTGGGGCCTATCATCGCTCAACAAGCTTTGCATTGAGACCCTTATCCACCTGTCTGCGTATCAAACTCCAATTGTCTGCGAGCCGATCTCGAGAACTCAAACATCGGTTCCGTTAACAAAAGCCAAGCCCCTTCCAAAAAGAAACCCGGCGGGGGATTAAACAAAGTTGCATATTCACAGCCCAAAGCAACACAAAGGCATCATCCTTGCGGCGGAACACAGCTCAAAGTAATGATGAAAGTGAGCTCGATTGGGTGCTTCTACGAGCTTGTCCGTCGCACCAGTCTGCAAGATGACCTTGCTCCGTGCCTGCCGCCTATTCTTGCCCTTCGTGCGCAAATTTCCCAGTCCATGATGGGCGTTGTCCCTGCAGCGGAGATCCCCGTTCAGGTCAAGGCCGTTATTAATCATGCCCTTAATGCTGGTGCTACCGAAGCCATGCAAAAATCGTGTCGTTCGCAAGGGACCTTAAACCTTTCGGGGATATTGTTGATTGAACAGCCGACTTGCGCACGTGAATGCACTTGGCTCAAGTCCTTGATTAGTGATTCAAGGTAAACATCCAACGGAAAGCTGTGAAGCAAAACAAGAGGTCCGTATTCCGCCGTCGCATTGAGTCGTCAGACAGCGCAGACCATTTTCCTTACAACCCCCCATTCACAACGACCACTACTATACGACTCCGTTGTCGAGGGTATTGGTCACCCCACGGGATTCGAACCCCAACTGCCTTGTCATTGACTACGTGGTTGACTCACCTCCTGGCAGGTTACCAGCCGTAAGCTGACAAGTCCCAGCGGTGGATTGCAACTGCGGTGCAGTACAACCTTTTGAGATTATATTTACAGCCGTACAATGGATTCTTCCGAAAGCCCAGGAACTGCAACCTTTGGAAGACAGTTACAGCGGTTCCACAGGTATGTTTGCTGTGCCGGCAATCGCGGACTCTCCGGACACTCAACAAAGTGCGAGCCTCAGGGCACGCTCAAAACACGAAGGCACCAACATGAAATGTAAATCATGCGTTGGGTGTGTGTGTGTGTGTCTTAATGTTTGTGCCAGTGTGTGTTTATAGCACACAATGTGCCTGTGTCCGTTTCTGCGCATTTGTGTTGTTTGTGTGCTCGTATGCGCTTGCTCATGGGCTCTTCCGGTTTCGCAGAGAGATGTTGCCCAGAGATTGGCTTGTGAGATTGCGCAGGAGGCGCGTCATGTCACCAAGAGATTCGCCCACAAGCTTGCACAGAGACGTGTCGCCAAGGGACCGCCTGAAACATTGCAGAGACATGTCACAGAGACAGGTTGCCAACAGATGTCGCTCAGAAAGTATGCTGCGAGATGTTGCAGACACACGCCACAAAGAAATTAGTTGAGAGGCCGTGAGGGAGGTTGCAGGGTGGTGCTCAGATGTTCAGAGCGCTGTCACAGAGAGAGAGAGAGAGAGAGTCCGCATAGATGCCACAAGAGAGGTTGCTCAGAGCGAGGCGTAGTCATATGTCGCAGAGAGAGGTTGCTCAGAGAGCTGTTGCAGAGACATCAGAGATCACAAAGATGTATTTCTGAGTGTTTCTGCGTGTGTGTGTGTGTTTCTGTGTGTGAGTGTGTGTGTGTGTGTGTTTTGTGTTTTTGTGTTTTTGTGTGTCTGTGTCTGTGTCTGTGTCTGCGTCTGTGTGTGTGTGTGTGTTTGTGTTTGTGTCTGCGTGCGTGCGTGTGTGTGTGTGTGTGTCTGCTGTGTTTCTGTGTTTCTGTGTGTGTGTGTGTGTGGGTGTGGTGGTTTGTTTGGCTGGCCGGCTGGCTGGCCGGATGCCTGCCTGCCTGCCTGCCTGCCTGCCTGCCTTCTTGCTTGCTTGCTTGCTTGCTTGCTTGCTTGCTTGCTTGCTTGCTTGCTTGCTTGCTTGCTTGCTTGCTTGCTTGCTTGCTTGCTTGCTTGCTTGCTTGCTTGCTTGCTTGCTTGCTTGTAGTTCTGTCTGTCATTCCTCTTGCTTGCTTGTTTAATTATACGTGTGTTTTTTGTGATTGGTTTGTTGTTGTTTTGTTTTTTGTTGATGTTTGTTTGTTTTGTTTTGTTTGGTGTTGTTTGCTTGTTTGTTTGTTCGCATCTGTGTGCGCATGTTTGTGTGACGTGTTTGCACTTGACGTTTTAACGCACCGACGTTTGTATTTGTTGCTGTGTGTCTGCGCCTTGGCAACTTTATGTCTGTGCCCGTCTACGTTTGCGCGTGCGAACGTGCCAACTTGCTCCGGGCTAACGTCGGAGCACTCCGGAGGACCACTCTGGTTCCCCCTTCAGTCAGGAAATTCAATGATATATTATATCTTGGGAGGTTCCTTTGTTCAGTTGGATGCTCCAGATTGATGGCCTTAGGTACAGCTCGAAGGACTGTGCCTTGGTGTCTTTTGCAAACCCCGCGGAGCGTTGCGCCATTCAAGAGCAAGGGGAGTGCAGCAGCATTGGCGGTGTGGAAATCACACGCGTCTTGCCCACAGACCGGCACCTCTTCGTGGCCTGGCTGCCAGGGACGGATCTGCCGCCGACCAGCATCAAGCGGCACTTCGACCGACGATTGGCTGCTTTGGCTTGGGATGGGGCTGGCGCTGAGGCTTTGGAAACGAGCTTAGGCCCGGCGCCGAGGCAAGCCAAGAGATGGGCAGCGTCGCGGGCTGGTGCTGAGACTGCGGCGCCGCAGGACCGGGGAAAATCTGCCACACAGATCAAGAAGAACGATCGTAAAGAGAAAGCCGAGAAGCTCGCAGACAGCCGTCATCCAGCCGAGTACGCGCAAGGTGGCGTGTTCGTGCGGAAGCACAGTTCGATGGGCTGTGCCATCGTGTCGCTTTCGGATGCCAGAATGCAGAACGAAATATTGTCTGAAGGAAGCACTTGCACCATAAACGGTGTCACTGCAGAAGTCAAAGCCCACACAGTCAAGGGCGCGCATAGCCATTCCAGCGCCGACGTGTTTGTGGCGTGGGGGAGGCAAGCTGAAAATGCATCCCCCTTATCAACCCAAGCAATTGCTCTCCATTTTCAAGCCAAGCAGCACGCAATTCAAGCAAAGTGGGCGGCCGAGAAGCGATCTGAGAGCCAAGCGGCAGACCACACACTGCAGAAGCTGCGCCTGGTTCTTCATCAAAACGCTCAGCCGGAATGTCAGGCGCCGAGTCACTAACAAATGCTTGCAAATCATGTCGCGTTGTCTTTTGCAGCATGCACTTTGTGTGTCCACGCTGTTTCTTGAACCTCTCTGGAAAGTGTTCAAT